AAAGTAAAGTAAAATGAAGTTTGTTCTAGTGGGATTTAAACGCGAGTCAGAAAGTTATGATGCAGTCTACGCTCTCTGCAGCCTACAGCTCGACCTCTTGTTGAAACAGTACGGTTAACACATTCCGACTCGGCGGAATTTTCCAAACTATAACTTGTCTTTTCTCAATAGTTTATAGCAATTATTCTTATATTTAGCGACTATATTCACCAAATGAAAACAAGAAAGCAAAATCTAGGATTACAATTTAATATAATTTATAACCTAGCTAAATAAATAAACCTATCTCATTAAATGTTTATGCAGTTCCAAAATTGCGTTAAATTGTATATGTTTAAAATACTATTGAAAGACTTGCACTACTGTATTCTGTTACTTCATTATAACACAAACCAACATTTAATGGCAAAAGTAATTGTTTCCTCAGAAATATAAAATTAATATAAAAATTGCCTCGAACGCGTAATAGTCTGGCATCAATCCTGTTTATATTAAAATCTGCGTATGCCATTACCGATCCTCCTTTCGCGAGTTGTGCGACATTTTGTTTATCTTCATCTTTATTTACATCCCCTTTGGCTGGATGCCACTTGGTGGCGCGGTTAATCACACCTCGCGGCTGGTTACCTGTTCCATTTGGCCGCCTAATTTCCGACGTCAGCCGACAACTATTATGGTCAAAGGTATTTCTGAAACGTCTGGACGCGGCGACGGGAGAATACGAAGTTGGACGAGGCGCGCGGGTAAATACAATCTCCGCGCGATGACTCAGGCTTTGGTATCTCGGATTTTAGGCGTAACGCATGCTCGATGACTCGTTTCGTGTTAATCTCCGGAATGGTGGAATTTACGGATGCCTTATCCACGGGTGGTTGCGCTTAAATGTTTCTCCGCGCCGTTAATCGGACTCTCGTTTGTGCATTAAATCACACCGTAGATAACCTCTTATCCGCCGCGAGCACGAAGAATTCTTTCCATGCGTTCCGTAGTTTGATTAAAGGTTCCCCCGTGAAGTACCAACAAAGAGATAGGACACGTCGTAAGAACTGGAGGATTTCCATTTCATTCGTGTGGGGAACTTTTCTTATGACGTTCATTTTCGACAATTTACGATCTGATGTTTTTTTTTGTAGTCTGTGAAAATCATGACCAATTTTAAGTTTAATTGTGCAACGAGATTTATCTTAATATAAACATAATAATAAACTAAAAACAAAAATTGAATTTACGGAAAACTTATCGACCATAGATACGATTTATTCTTTTTTACATTCAGGTAATTTACGGATAATAATGTTAACAAGTGGTATCGATGTTAGTATCTCAAATCGATAAGTACTATCTTCGGTTTCGACCTTTAAGGATTTCTGGTACTTAGCCTTTTAATTAATTGTGACGTTTAATTGGAATCGGTTAATTTATCGATGATTAAGTGCTGAACTACGATGTATCTGTGGAAAGATCTGTGTCCGGACAAATGCATATGGCGGGCAGCAGTTGTGCACGGTCGCTGTGTGGCGGAATGTGGGTCGCTTCATTTGGGTCATTATAACAATCAAGTTGTTCGAGGTTCGTTGCTCTGGTTTCGCAGGTGCCATGAAAATGTCTCCTCTCATTACCATATTAACCCAAACTGTCGTCATTTTATTGCAAATTGTCAGTTATCGAACGGAACAAATGTTACTTCTTCATTATCGACATTCCACGATAATTCGAGTTACCAACTGCTCTATTAGTAACTAGCTTCAATGGCGCTTGGTATTTATTTACCATTATATATATACATATATACACTTCAGTGTCGATTAAAAGAAGTGTACATACTTTTCTATTTCAAATAGATACGTGTTTGCTTTATACATCGCGTTCTCGAACTAAAACGAGACGCACGCGTCACTGCGTATGTATTTAACCCTTCGAGCCTGACACAAGACAATATACCGACTAATAAACCTTCGTTAACGGTCGACAGTTTGGCAATATATTTCTGTATTTTTCAATCAAATTTTATCCATTAAAAATGTTGTGATAGATATCGTATGTATCTTTGGTATCTTTTCTGTCAAAGATGGGCAAAATTAACGAAACATTTTTAATAACGAATAAAATGTGAACAATTTCATACACGTTATTTTTATTCATTTATTATCGCGTTAAATTTCATCGATCTCTGTTTTCTGTGGCATAGCTCTTAAAAGTTACTAACTATAAATAACTAGCTGAATCATTTGAGATTGAAAGCCAGGTCATGTTCGAGGGGTTAAGAAGTACAAGGCAGTAGCGTTGGAAATCAGGCCAATGCCCTGCGAAGAAACACGCGTACCCCTTTTCTTAATAATTGCGACCTATTAAGCATAATTACGGTTTGCCGGTCGACAGGAGTACGCATCGGGTATCGCGATGGTTAAACATGAACTTGTGACGTCATAATGTATCATATATCATAGTGTCACGTATTTCGGAATAGCGTGACGGTGCTACCATAGAACGCCTACAATAAAGTTGCAATTTCCTTTGGAACCGGTCTTCACCGTGAGATGTCGTTTCCATCGATAGGTGGCACGGTTGTGCCACTTTGTTAGAGGTATCTAGATCGTACTACCAACTAACCTAACTACGTTAACGAACTGTCTTGTAAGAAATTGAAAATTGTTGCACATGGGGTCTCACTATCTATTCTAACAGCTAGTAGTGTTACTAAAAGGTCCTTAATATTCGAAATAGTTTAAGAAGAAAATACATTTTCCAATGTTTATCAAACTTTATCGACAAGCAGTTGCATTGCAGGCTAAACGAAGGGCCATCTGTGCAGACAAGAGAGGTTATGCGAGGCCCCCGTCGATATGTTGCTATTCATTCGACGCGTTTAGTATTAAATTTACGATTTCCGGCAAAACCTCGGAAGTAGGTTACGGAATTGCATTACTTATACAAAACCGTCGATAACAGTTAATCACTCGTTCAAATCCGAATACTTGCTGTGCAGTGTTGACATTCACCGATCAGTGACTTGAATTTTACATATATATTTTCTAGTTCTAGTTCTCGTTTGTTACAAAAAATATATAAATTGTGTAAGCTCATATTATCGTGATTATCGAAAGGTTATGTTCTCAGTTTAGATACTTGAGCAATTTACTTCTTTGCAAATCGTTGCTAAAAATATACGTATTTTTAACGAAACAAATAGTTGTCTTACCAACTTTCTCAATTGCATCCGTGTCACTAACAAGTTAGGTTATATGGATAGTTTTCAATATAAATATAAGCGCTCCAGTTTAAATTACCAGGTTGCATTTAACCTAAAATTCGAAGGTATTTGGAGTTAGTTGCGGTTTATGATCAATAAATCGTATCGTTAGGTGGAATAAGGACGCGTGTCTCCGTTGATTATATTAAATAGAAGTAACGCGGCGGATCGAATTGAATCCGGAAGGAGGAGGGCCTGCCCTCTCCCCTATCCGAAAGGAAGTTTCGTTGCGGCGACTGCGGAATAATCATCGGCCGCGACAACAGCCACGGGGTTGGCGGCCGTGCGGCGCGACGGCAGGGGGCGAAAAGAGTGACTCATCGTTGAGCCAGGCCAGGCCTCACGAGCTGCAGGTCAGGAGAGGAAGACACTTTTAGCCCACATTTCTTCCTTGCCCCCCTACCCCCTCGCTCATAACGTTCCTTTATTTTTACCCCGGCCGTTTATTCGCGGGATCCCCGTTTCCTCTCTCGCTTCCTCTTTCGTTAAGCTTTTCCTCGTGGCTTTCCTGCTTCGTTCGCTTCAATGATTCCGATCAGACGTTACTAAAAACCATTCGTTTGCATTTAGTTTTGAAAGTGAGAATTTCTTTACCACTGTTATGGGCATTCGAAGGAAGAATTCTAGTTACTCGTAACACTAGACTTTCTACGTTACTTCTTCGCTCGCGTACCTTAAGGCTGGAAGACTTTCAAGGAACAAGATTCGTAAAGTAGCATCGGTAGGGCTTCGAAAACCGCAAAGAACGCACCTAGAGTGTAAGATTCTAAATTCTTTCGAAGCTTAAGGGCGTGCTAAACGTATTAAATATCCATAGGGCGAGAAGGTTTAAAGTTTCTCTTATTTCCACTGCCAAGCGACAAACGGTACAGGTTTGAACATTGCACGCGGAAGTATGGCGGACCTGCTACGCCGATAGGTTAGGTTTATTAGCTGGTCGTTTTACGAGAAATCGCTGTGTACACAATTCCAGACCGCGATTCCGCTCGGTGGGGAGTCAATCGGTGCATTGTATTCTACAGGGAACACGGAAAGGAAACGGAATGCCTATCCGTCTCGGTCTTCGTTTCCCGTCGTCAACTTTATTTGCGGAGCATTTCTTGCGGTCGTCTTTCAAGTTTCGCTAAATTGTGTAAACAGAGAGTCTCTACGAGTGTTTTCGATGAGTCTCGAGTAAAGCAAACAATGGAATTACGGTGGAATACCGCTGACAACAGGTTCGCCTCCATGTTGGTCATCGGTTACCGGCGTCGAATCTCGATGCTTAGTCGGTCACTGCTAACCGACCATAACGCGGATAACAGTTTACGTTCGTTTGATCACGAGTATAACTAATAATTAAACAAGGCATTATTTTTTCATCTGTGTTCAATTTTAGTCTTTAACCCTTTAGAATCCCCATCTAAATGCAGTAAATTATTAAAAATTATCGAGAAAATCGGAGCTTGAGTTTCGAGCCTAAAGAGTATGTTTACACTGAAAGCTAGACATTTAGTTTGCGTTAACACTTGTAAGGTGCCCAGTCGACCGGATTTTTCCACAGTCCGGGCAAAAGTTAGGTTAGCAATCAGTAAACAGCACCTGCGCGGTCAGGGTATCGGTGCTTTACCAGTAATTTGATACTTCACGCGACCGGTTCCCACGACCAAAGCGGTTCGAGCCGGCCTCGTTAGTCGTCCGGCGTACCTCTAGCTCCCGAAACCGAACCGTTTCTCGTTCTAACGGACACGATCGTCTGTTTGTTTTCCAGGTGGACACAAAGAGTTCCACAGGCGGCACAGGGACCTCTGCGAGGACACGCTTCTCCCAGCGGGCGGAGCCGGCCCGTCGACGGTAGGCGGTTGTCCGAGCCCGGGACCAGGTTGTCCGGTGTTGAGTCTGTCAGGACCGCCGACACCCCAACCCGCGGACATCGACAGTCACCCCGCGTCCCGGGTTTTACCTTTCCTGTACCTTGGCAATGGCAGAGACGCGGCTGATCTCCAACTCCTTCGCGCGCTAGGCGCCACCAGGGTCCTTAACGTTACTTCACAGTTGCCCGGATATCACGAGGAGAGGGGTATTACCTACAGGCAGATCCCTGCCTCGGATTCCGGGCACCAGAACCTCAAACAGTACTTCGAGGAAGCCTTCGACTTCATCGGTGAGTTGTCTGCCCGCGATAGCGACCCTCAACACGTTCGTTGTCCCCAAGATTCACATACATATTGGTCAAAACAACTTCGACTCAGCGGTTCTATTGCTTCCCTAGGGATAATAATTCCTGCTTATGGCGACAGTGAACGTGTTATAACTATACTTCGAGAGTATGAAGTTCTCGGCGGATTCGGCCTCATTTGTTCTCGTTACGATAGAAAACTGTAACGTACGTGCGAAGGCGCTTCTCGTATTGGCCACCAGAGGGATCGTTCCTCTCGCAAGCGCTTGACCAACATTAGTACATATACGTTTCTCGACCGACTTTCAATGTCCTAGTGTCTAAGGCAGGGTCTTCTAGGATGCCTTTCCTTTTCCATCTCTCATCAACAGGACTCCACATATGTAACAACTGTTTGTCATTAGACACATAATCGTCACTATCAAGTAATTATCCTAACAACAAACATTCCTTATTCCAAATTTAACGAATACCCAAACGAGTGCAACTAACTTTCCTGTACTTACACACGTTGTTTCTGAAAAATGAGAATAGTTTCTCGAGAAATGAGTTTTGAGATCTCAGCGTCAATCGTACGGGCTGTAGAGCAGGTTACCGTTAGTCAACCGAGTAGTTGATGAATCGGATGATGAGAGAAGCGTCTGAATAGTTGGCAAGAGGAAACGCGAGACGCGTTTATAATGTATACTGACATTGAACGAACAAGCGTGGTCGATCCATTGACGCTTGCAAACCTGTTGCGCGCGTGATTCGACGAAAATAGGAGGACATATACAGCCATTGGGGTAAATTGGTTTAATTGCATTGACGGTGCGAAGCGCTAGGAGGTTACGGAGGACATTCGCGGAGGCTGCGTTTTTAATTCACCGTGAGAGAGATCGGGAAGAGCGAGCGTGCTCACAAAGAGACACGCGTTGGCCTCTGTCGATGAGTAATTCTTTCGGCTGACTGGGTGTGTCCTCGGGCAATGATCGTCATTGCCGTTTGCGTCTGCGGACGCTCGAAGCTCCTGCAACTCGTTCACGGTTCGTAGTTCGAAGGTATCGTTGGTCGAACAAATATAGCAATCCACTTAAGCTAGATCCAAAGTGGTCTATTACGGATACAAATCGTAGTTTGTTAACTATTCTTTACTGGCTATGAGGATTTTCTAAAAGACTTTGTATAAACAAAATTTTAAAATTAAGGACACTAGCATCTTTGACTGCACTTTTTACGAGATATATTCGTTCCATCAAGTGTATAGAAACGGTTGTTTAGCAGTCGAGATCTAGGTGGCGGTCTTCGTCTAGGCTGTACCAAACGCAACAACTTCCTAGCGGCCCCGATTTAAGGCGTCCCTTTTATTTCCCCTCATGGGAACCAAGGACTCGATCCTTTGTGACTCGCGGCGGTTAAACTTTCCATCCCGTCTGGAGCTTGTTGCGAGGTATAAAAAAAAGTTCCCATGTGTGGCGATGGTGTGTTCACTCGTTATCAAGAAGATTACCTGAGGTACACATCGATGGATGTAGACTGGGAACTTAAAATTAAATATTGTTTGATCTCAAAATAGTAGCGAGGCACAGTCTAAGGTTCTTCGATTCAATTGCTCCTTGACACAGGAACTAGGACTTTTTGTACCCTATTACAACTTCGGAAGTATGTTAGCTCGTACTAGTTTCTTGACATCAAGTATATCCTATTTGCAAGAGGAGGAATTCAGTAAAACATGAGTCGTTTTTGTAAATTCTTATTAAAATTGGGTCCTACCCTAAAACTGGCATCTTGGTCGCCTGTTTTGCATACATGCCAAAGCGTCGGCTACCAGTTTCCTGCGCGGAACAGCTGAACGCAAGACCTTGAGGGGTGAAGTCAGCGTTGCTTTGTTTGGCCACAAGAGACGTCTTAACGGTCAACGCTCCAAGGTGCCCTTCGTTTCACGCAACAGTCCCTACGGTGTTGGGACGGTTGGCCAGGTACAGCATTCCACCAGTTGCACATTCGGTAGGGCTCTCCCCGGTCGCGCGTACCCGTGCATGCACGCATGAGCACACACGTAAACGATGCTCGTTCGCGTTACGCACACGTCCCCGCGTGGGTACAGAATGCGGTGCAATAAACACACGACTGACACGGACGAAGAGAGGCAGACCCAGGCACTGGGGCAACGCGAAGAAGGGGATTCACGGGTGTGCATTCGCTGGTTCGCTCGCGCGCGTGACTCATGGTTTCATGAATGGAAGCCTTTCGTCTTCTAGTCCTCGCGCGGTGAATGGTCCACCGGAAACGGCTGGTTACACCCTGTTTCCGTTACACCAAACTGCGTCGTGCAACGCCACCGACGAGGGAAAAAACGGGCGAACGTTGCGTCGACGCGCGGCATCCGTGGATCTGCGCAGGAACACCGGGCAGCTGTGCCCCGAACCCCATCAGCCTACTGTCTTCGGCGAGCTTTCACTCAGACAGGGAAACGTGCAATTATGTTCCGTGGTAAAGAGTATTCCGGAGATATTCTTGTAGGGGGGTATTAATAATTATCAACTCAACATTTTTCATAATAACATTGAAACAAAAATTTATCAATTGCTGTTATGAGGTTATATTTGAACCTCATTGATCTGCGTCTTAGGACGAGAAGCTTACACTAAGGCAAAGGAATATTCGTTGCACTCGTATACTATATTAAGGAGTAATCAGAAAATTATTAAATATTATGTAAATATTCATTTGACTTTGATTTTCAATTGAATTTATAATGTATAATAATATAAAACTTATACTAGCTTGGATGAGAAAGTTTTGCATACACAGGGGAAACATTCGTTGCAATTATGTACCTTATGTTAGGAAGTATTCGGAGAATACCTTTGCAGTAGTGGTGTTAGGGAATATGTATGTTTGTTTCGTACGTACATATGCCTTTGTTTGTGGCGACTCGTTACGAGAGTCGTTTACAAACCCCGGGGTTAAAAGCTCAGCTTGACCAACCCGTTTGATAAATATCAGTCCAATTCCAGAACGTTTGATCGTGCACAATTGCGCAGCGAGTCGTAATAGCTTCACGTGTTCCGAGAACATGAATCTCCCGCTTTAATTTTAACTTTCCAAAGAACCACGGAGCCCCCGGGGGAGAAAACAAACAGCGCCGAGGCAACAAGTATGCCCGATTTCCCGGAACTCCATATCATTTTCAGGATCGCGACAGGTGTCGTAGCTTTTCGTCATTGTGTACACATGTGCCTTCTGTTACCAAAATATATCTCTGCGGCACCCTGCCCAGCCACTTCTCGTTACTCTCTCCCACTATGAGTCACACCCTCTCCCACTTTTTTTTGATAGTATCATTTTTTCACTTTTTCCCCTTAAATAGTTAGCAATTTTCTATTTTAGATTTTTATATCCATTCATGGGTATGTACCTACTTCTACCAGAGGAATCAAAATGATTTATAACGTATAAGTTCTGAAATTTACTTTTTAAAGTTTACCTATGTTCTGTGAGGGGTTAAAACCTCCCCTCTTGGTATATCCAGCTACACTAGTTACGTAGCGTTAATCCGTTTTCTCGTGTTTTCCTAGCTCGTTTCATCTTTAATGATCTCCGTGCCCCCTCCCTGCATTTTCCCTCACCCTTTCATTCTCCCCTTTTGGTTTCTCTCACCCCAATTTTTCCCGTTTCTTTCTGGCCATTCGTCAGTCATGACTCATAGCAGATGCCGGCTCGCAGTCTATACGAGCAATCCTAGCACGCACAACGCTCAGCTAGTGCGTTACGGGTGTCATTTAGGGGGCTAATGTACCACCCCATATCGCCTCGGCCAACGCTTACCTAAACTACTTCGATTACGCGACCCTCGATACATGGGTTAGATAAGATTCGTCTCGCTTCCAATCTCCGTTTAGCGATTTATTAACGATTAATCGACACTTCGGGCGATGGGTCAGGAATACTTTCCAAAATCAAAGGTCGTTCTCCCTCATTCAAACTCTGGGTACATTTTCCATTCTGGCGATTGTTATCGTTGAAACTAAAATATTATTTGTTTTATCATTATGGCGTGATGGTTGAACTCTGTAATGGTTACGAGACTTTTTGAAAAAAGGCATGATGTTCCTCAATTTTAATATCTTATATATTGTGTGGGTCATCTTGTACATCAACTTTTACATTTTTGAACAATGTTTCATCATATTATCACTCTGCGTCACTGAGGCCTAATTATAGAGAATATAAATAATTATTAGAATGAAAACAACCAGAAAGCTGTCTTTATCAAAATTAAAAAACAATGCAATTTATTCCATTATATTTGCCTCAAAAAACTAATTTTTATCAAAATTGCGTAACGTAACGTTGAAAGACAGTTGGCGAGAATTTGGGGACCAAAATTGCTCGCGAACGCAATGTTGTTCTTTCGAAACCTAACCTCGCAGGAATTCTTCCGCAAAAAACAGCGATCGGAGTGTGTTTTTTTTCGCGCGGACAGTCGTCGCCGCGTGTGTGTGCACGTGCACTTGCAGCGGCTCTCATGCTCTCTTCAGCACGTAGTAGGACGTTACATAGGATACGGGCGCGCGTCGCCGTGACTCATTGGCGATACGATAGCGTCCCCCATGTTACGTAACCGAATCGCCTGTTTGGGTTACAACGACTGGTTTGTTTGACCGTTTATAACGCGATCTCGCGTCATCCGAGCGGGTTGCACGGCCGGCCAGAGCGTTGTGTTCGCTCGTTCCCGTAAATCGCCTCCTAGAAATTCCGGATGACGTAGACCCTAGACACGCGTCGATGACCCTCATCCCTGAGCCCGTTTCACTCTAACCTATGCGGCTCGAATTTCTTCGGACGGAACGGGTTCCTTCGAGCTCGGCCCCGACTTCGCGGAATCCTATTTTGCACTCTTCTTTCGCTCCGAATTTCTTAACGAGTACGAACCTCTGAATTCGTAAATGATATTTAACCTCTTCAGTACCCAGTTAATAAGTTAGAAAGCCTGTTGATCAAACCATAACATTTATAAGATACACAAACGTGCATCTATAAGTTTTCATATTTTATCGTCTCGGACACGATCTTGTAGTGCGAAGGGATGCGAGACGGACTAACGGGGTAGCCAAACGTTATGTAGTAGCTACGCACTGACCTTGACCAAACAATATTTTCCGCCTCGAGAACTCCCGTTACCCTCGTGTAATAATTCTTTTGCTTTGTTCCTCGTAATAACAAAGAAACTTGTTTGGTTTACAGAGGAAGCCCGAAAAGCCGGAAGCAGCGTGTTGGTGCACTGTCAGGCGGGAGTGTCGCGCAGCGCGACAATCGCAATTGCGTACATAATGCGGCACAAGGGTCTGTCCATGGTGGAGGCGTACAAGCTGGTGAAAAACGCGCGACCGATCATCAGCCCGAACCTGAACTTCATGGGCCAGCTACTGGAGCTAGAACAGGGCCTGAGGGCGTCGGGCGGCGTGGCTCCGGGGCCCGAGGAGCCCAAAAGTTGTCATCAGTGTCGCTGGTCGCATCAACAGAACAGCGAGGAGGTCACGTCCGGGTGCAGCGTGTGAGGACAGCATCCGGATACGTTGGGCCCCGGTTGTCGTCGTGCCCCGGGCCCGCCAGGAGAAAACTACTCTACACATATCCTGCATATCCGCGCGGATCGAACTCGTTCTCCCTGTTTCTCCCGCGGAAGAAGAACTCGGATTACCTTGCTACACGTGCCTTGGCGATCGCCCCCAGATACGGGAAAGGCTGATTTCACAGAGACAGTTTATTTCTTATTCACCGGATAACTTATTTGAGTGGAAGGGAAGATGAGAGAGAGAGAGAAAGAGAGAGAGAGAGCACATCGTTGACCGGCGGGACAGCTCGAAGGATTGGGGGGATAAATGGCGCGCGACGTCCATCTTGCGGAGGAAAGGTGAAGCTACCTAGCGCGCCACCATGCTGTTCCCGTGCAGGCAACGCGTACGCGCCACACGTCGCGAATTATTTATTTCGTCGGAGAGAGAGAGACTTGGTGCAATCGTCGTAAAATGGTGTACTTACGCGACAGTGTTCCGCAGGATCTTGGTACGAAAGGCCGAGAGACACGCGAATTTTTTCCCTCTCGAAAAAAGTAACCTCTAATTCATTCTCGTCGGGGGTTAGCGAGAACAGTCGAATTCACGATGCGTTCGTTGTCTTCTCGTTTGGAAAGGTTACCACGCGCGAAAACGTTTCGAAAGACAATTTTATTCGTTTCAAACCCCGTTTCGTTTTGCTTTTATTCGTACATTTTTTTTATTCGTCCACGATCGAAAATGATTTAACCCCGTTACGAAGAATCTTAGATGTACCTTGTCAGGGACACTGCTTGGAAACGCTGTTGCGCACGAAGACGACACGAGTCCTTTGTGCATGTTCGAAATCACTGCACCCCGGGTATAGCCAGTTTGCCATCGGAAGACGCGTGTACGTGGAATGGAAAACGGTTGAATGTATGTCAATTGAGATCAATAATACCTATGTTTGCGTTTTTTGCCTTTGCCTATTTGTATCTGTATTCGTATATTATATTACTTGATAGCGAAGTGGTTTATATTTGATAAATAATATATCGTTAACCGGAATTTAACTTAACCACGAACGCTCCGTAGCATTTAAGGATCTGGTTGAGATCCAACCATCGTGATCTAGTCGTTTGTTGGGATGTAATGTTTACTGTAAGGTGCGAAAGAGAGAGTAAATGCCCCCGCCAATTTAATTTAGACTATACAACGTCGTCGACAACTCGAGGGACAACGGTTACGATTTTAAACGAATACACGATGCCAAAACAACGATTTTTAGTTTCGAATTCGACGAGTCTCGGGGCTCCGGGCGAAGTTCGACGCAACGACCAAATTATTATCTATCGCCGATCTTGAAACGTGCGCGTGAAATTAATTGGATCGTCCCGACCAATGTACGTGCATCGAAATCAAACAATTCCACGTGAGAGATACAAGGCGCCTTCGTGCTGCTTGTTTTAAGTGTTCGGTCACGTGTTGCGCGATACAGATGCGCGAACAAGATATCTAACCTCGTTGTTACGTTTATCTCAACTTTTATTTACTCTGCAAAATTGCTTTGTAACATTCTATTGCAATCTTATGTTAGAAATCCAAACGAATGTAACATATTTTATCTATGTTGCACATCACGCGATCGACGAGGAGAAACTTTCTTTTATCACCAAAGTCTTCGCGCCTGCGAATTGTTTGAGATGTTTTGCACAAAACGATTCAACGGAATTGTGCCACGTGCAGGAAGATTTTCTCGTCTTGGAACTCGGTCTGCGTTGGATGTTACGTCGAATAGAATTAAAAAAACGAACGCTTTTTAACCAAGTAAATATAATTTTTTCTTCTCGCTTAATTTCGTATATGTATAAGATATTGTGTTTGAATTTGGACCAAAGACCTTTTTTCCTCGTGTGGCACGATTCCACCCGAGTATTTATATTCGAACGCGTTGCAATGCAGTTTCCGATCGTCTTTAAAAATAAATACGCAGCATTTTAATCGACGAATTAACCTCGTTAATTCACGCGAACGACGGCCACGAAATAGAGTCGACCGTGGCGCGCGGAAAGAGAAAAACAAAATGGAGAATCCAATTCGTTGAAATACCTCGAGCAACGGCCTGTACACAGGAGATGTTGATTGAAGAAAAAAAAAAAATGTAACACGTGCGAATACTGTTACGACACGACAATCGCCGCTGTTAATCAAACCGAGCAGCTGTTCAAAAAAAAAAATAATGTCGCTTTTAACCGATATGCCTTTCTACATTAGAGACTCAACTGTTGACAATAAAAGCTCGACAAGCGAGAAAGAGAGAGCTGTTGTGCGTGAAGAAAAACGAGTAATAATAGCATACGAGACAGAGCAAGTTCCTTCAAATTCTCTAATTCTCTCGAGAAACAAAAAGAAAACGGTACATATCAAAGAGACGTCGCCTTTATTTTCCCTCTTTTATGGATCGCGGAGAAGTCGCGTTCGCGGATGGATGGCAGCGGGGCCTGAAGTATCCTCCGCGTCGTCGCGACGTCTCCGTAGACATTGTAAAAAGTGTAGTGAATAGCGTTGTAAATAGATATAATGTCGCAGATCGAAGACACTGGCGATCACGAATAGAATCGCGGAAAAGAAGAGACCGATTGGTAGCACCATATTAAAAAAAAACAAAGAAAGAGAGAACGAGAGAGCCACACGAGCGCGTAGTACCTGTTGCGTCGTGAGAATGTATATGACGTGTATGTAGCGTTTACTGGATTGTGGGAGATCTTTAACAATAAAATTATACATGTGGACCTGCGATAAATAGTCGTTGCAGTAGCGATAACTGGCTGTTATGACGTGATTTTGTGACTAGAGCTGACAAAGTAAAGCCTTAAAACGGGTAAACAGCAAAGGAGTTGTATATCATTGCACGTTGAGAGTTGCCTGAAAAAGATTTACCGTCGAGACGGATTCGACTGACCGTTCAAGGCCATCGAGGGCTTTCCTCCATCGTGACGTTCAATTTACCACGCCCCCTATCGTTGCGACCGAAATTCCTACGGATGATATACAATTTTGCGAGGCTGCATTTTGTCTGGTTCCGTTTTGTATCGACTCCTGGATATTCGCGATTACGATTTGTCGTAAATTGACGTAACCTTTTATTGCTGGTGTCTTTCTGCGTCGGTATGCACATGTTAAGGTTAGTGTACTCTGTAACGGTCGTCGTTTGAAACAGTGCCGTACGATCCAGTGGCGCGCGCACACTAGTTGGGGACGGAAACTGGCACCAAGCTGACCAACCCGTAGAAACGCTCCTGTACGATCGGATCCTATCGATTTTCATTTTAAATGTACAGTTAAATGTAACGTAACGTATGCATACGCGCGAGGACAAGTATTGTATCATATCAAAATTTATTTAGTTATTTTATGAATAAAAATGTAAATCGCACGCTTTTTGCGGTCGATTCCTTGCGTTTCATGAACGATGGCTTCCCGTTTATATATTTTTTATTTCGTTAACGGGGTCTCCTCGCAACTCGGGTCGAAATATATTTGGGATTTTATTTTCGAGAAAAATACGAATATAGAAACTTTGCACGCTAATTAATATTTTTGCAAAGATATTGGCTGAACTTTTTCGCGCAATTCTAACAGTAAACGAGTTATTAATAATATCACAACAGTGCATCGACAATCGATGAACATGATTACGCTTCATTTAGTAATTAGAAGCGAAAGATACAAATTATTTTTTTGCACGAATATGGAAGAAATTCAGGAGCTAAAAAATTGACAAAATGACTGCACATAGGATGGATAAAACGGGATTTATTACAAGTTTTTTTACCTTATTTTTACATTGTAAGAAAAGTTTTTAACATACTGAGATAGTCCTAATACAAATGAAAATTGTAACAAAAATTTCGAATTAATCGACTACCTTCTGAAATAATAATGTTCATGCTAGTTCAAATTTTGTTTACGATTATGTTTTGCTACGCATTTGAATCAAGGCATGAAGAAAATGCCTAAGGCGCCGGGACAAAAGAAAAGAATCTTTGCGTAGCAGGCAGATTTTGTAACATAAAAGATACGATTGTTAAGAAAATGTTTATTTAGACAGAAAATATCGAATTTCGAATATAATAAAATTTCCAAATTTTCGCGATGTAATCGGGGATAAATCTCCTTAGACCGAACGATCCCTTTTATCGATGCGCTTTTTTCATTCCAAAGGAATGGAAATTGATGTAGAAAACCAAGTTCGTAGACAGATGGCGGCTGTGAAATGGTGCACACAGTTAAATAATAAACGGAAACGTGTTCGCAGACTTTTGTTTTTTTTCAACTTAATTCATTATTTTCGACCTTATTACTGGAGTAATAAAAACATGATTGTGCATACGATGAAGTACGTAAATACAAATTCGATCTGTTTGCTTTCTCTCGATTCTGCTCGCTTACATGCATAATGCACTTGCACACCTCAGTCTCCTGCTTTCTAAATGTATATGTATGTATGCTTCGCTGGAAGTAAATATTAGGTTGCAGCGGTAATATATATATATATATTTATATATATAACTAATAGTAGAATAGGGGTCAATGCCGAGTTTCTGCTTTCTCTTCGTGACGCACCCCTTTCGTTACGTTTCGCTCCGTTCACGACTCGAAACGCGAAAGATGTTCGTTTCTTCTTGATCAAATTAAATGCATCGTGGTACGGAATTGCTTCGTTTGTGCTTTTCTATTTACACAAATCGCATTAAACTTGTGGTCGCTGCGCGACAATGCAGTTCACTTAACCTTACACCAATGCGATGCACGCGGCGAAGCGAATAACTCCGCGGGTAAAAAACTTACGCAGAACAATTATAGTCGAGCATTACCGATAGATCCGTTAAAGAGTATAAAACAGACGTTTGTTCGATTCGCGTGGATACTCGCCGACGTTCAAAGGGTTTACAATCGCGTCAAGCATAGATTCGCCAATGTTTACACATCTCGTTCGCGCGTCTAATCAACAATGACATAACAAACTGGAGCACCTCTTCTACCGTTAAGTTGTTACATGACGAAAAACATATTTGCCTCGATTTATCGCACAGAGATTAGATACCAACAATACGAAGACGCAAAACAATATTTTTCCCTTGCCACTGCCAGAGTTGAGCATCAATGAACTAATTTCGTTCGATTAATTGATCGATCAGGCTACGCGTTCGAAAAATTTTGTCGACGGAAGTAATCGCGATCGCTACTAATCGAATCATGCCGGTTAGCACGCATCGTTAATCGAATTGATAACTTTATTATTTCTCAAAAACACTACTGCAAGTGACGTTATTTAAAACGAGAGTAAATTCCGTCAAATATCACTATTTTCGTATTTTTTTGGTTATTATTACTCGTGTATTTCTCTATTAGAAACAATATTATAGAGCACGATATATTTATCTCAAACGAATTAAATAATTAATATCTACGTCATTTTCCAATGAAGGTTAATCGTTGATACATTCAACGATGAGCCTTAACGAATGATTACTCGGATAAATCGCCTTGAACGATTAACCATTAATTCATTTGTCAATTGTCAGTTATCTGTGACGACTAACGATTGCTTCAAATGATCACTAATTCCTTTATAAATCGTGTATGTAAACGATTGATTATTTATAATTGTAATCAACAAGCATTACCTCGATTAAAATCTGCCCAACGCTGGCCCGCTACGTAATAAAATCCGTACAACTAAAGCCCTATAGGTGAAGCGGATAAATTATGATTACCTGTACGCTCGTACGAGATCTATTGCTTGTTACAAAAACATGATACGGAGGAATCGAGAGCGGACTGTAGTATTATTGTGTAACTTACCCTGATTCTCTTGCCGAGTGACTTATCAATTAATCATTTTTCTTCACTGCGCGTGTATGTGTTCTTTCTTGTCTTCAAAGTCGCTTCGCTGTTTCTCTCTCGACTATTATTAACAAGTAAATTCACGATAAATATAAACTATTGGTATATATATATATATAGCTTCTTAACCCGCTGATTCAATGATTTCTAAAAACGATCGTAGGATTGACACGTAGCGTCGGGTGGTGTCCTCGCAAAAAGGAAAGCTAATTACTGGCCAGGGCCGCCATTGCGCGAATCAACGCTGCGTTCTCCTCCCGCAGCCGTTCACGTTCTATAGTCATTTCGTGCTGTTGTTGCAACAGACGTGCTTCGAGCGCCATGATCTTGTGATCTCGATCCTCGAGCAGCGACAATAGCCTCCTGTTCTCTTCTTGCGCTCGTTCAATCAACTGAAATTTTAATAAGAACTTGCACTCGCGGGCAGAGGCACTTAACTCTTTGGGGCACGCTGGGACTAAAAGTGTCCCGCCATTTTGATGCACCGTAATGCACGATGGGACATTTTTAGCCCCACCTCGAAATAGGTTTATATTTCGTCTTATTCACGTAAAGCAGTTGGTAATATCTTCCAACAAATGTTACAAATCTATTCACTTGTATTGGCAACTCAACATGCCAATACAGGTTCATTAATAGTTGTAAACGGAAGGTTTATTGCGACAACTATTACTATTTTTTTTTTATGTTTTTAACATGGTCTATTTTATTATCTGAAATCCTGTGCCGCAAAGAGTTAACGTCATTTTCTTGATTATTAGGAACAAATCTTATGAACGTTCAATGTAGTCGTAACAAGTCTATCCGTAAACAGTCTGTGATTATTTTATACACATAGAGATAATGTCCGTATATATTTTACGTTTGTACTTCGCTATGACTACATGAAACGTCTGCGATTAAATATTTCATTGAGAAAATACTTCGTGCGGATTGTCTCCCGTGGGCGTAGGCAGTCTTGGTCTATTGCCAGTATTCACAGACGTCTGCGGCTCGTGATTTCCGTGGTCAGATTGATTGACGCTATCTGATTGATTCAGAGAATCAAACTCCTCGTCGTCTGCTTCCAAGTCTGAATGACTAAAATGAAATCGGATATTTTTCGTATATTAGTGGACGCGTGTCGGTCCGTCGATACGGACTGCCTATAAGATCATATTAGGCACGACCCTTAATGTAAACGATCCTAATATCCGATGACGTCTACGATCTTTTTATTCGTTCCTCGAATGAACTATTCTGTGCTTTGGCGCAATATGAGGCAATACATGTTACTATAAACGACAATTACGATTCTTATCGATTCGAGATCGTAGAGTATAAAAGATATAACAAAAGACTTACGTACTTGTTACAATACGCAGGCTCGTATTTAAAAGAATCTACTAGCTCTACCGTACTTCGTACAGGTCGTGCCTAATTGTACTTTGTCACGTACAGTAGCACTTACCAACTGTGCCTATTTATACATGACCTGTAGGAAGTACGGTAATGCCTAAAAAGCAGTAGCAGTTTATTACAAATAACTACGAAATTTCACTAATGCTCTATATATATAATATGTATGTAAATTTACTACCGTAGTCAATATTACAGTGTTTTATACCTTTTGTTTCGCCTTTGTGTAAACATTTTTGCTGTCCGTTCCTGAAACACGCGTAGTTTGACATACATACATAATTTCTGTTAGAGAATGATTGACTTTTTGACCGTTGTGGACGGTAATAACGAATATAATTATTATTATATATATATATGTATATACGTATATATATATATATATAGCACACGAACTTACTTCTAGGAGTTCATGATCAAGGAACTCATTGTGATGTGTGTTGTGTTTAGTTTCAAGACAAGTGCCACTAAGCTCTTCCTCATCTTCTCCTGTACTACCTCCTGTACTCTGCAGAATTAAGTGGCTAACGAAATTACATTGCGGAGTAACCAACGGTGTTGCACACAAAACTTTTTACCAATATCCATAACACTCGTGTACGAACGCGTTTATCGTTAACGATCGCGAGAAAGCGTTTCTAAGTGCAATTCTACTACTTTGTTAGACATTCTGTGTGTGTTGCGATTCTAACATGACTTTCTATAAAAATACATTCGCTCAAGACATTTTTTTGTACAGATCGAGAACACCAAAATACATTTGACACAAATTCCACCACTGAAATTTTCATTTCAGATCGATCAGAGTAAACGTTTAAATTATTATTACAATGAATATAAAAAGGAAAAAAAATCTCTAAATTTCTCATGCAAGATACAAAGTTGACTAAGAATTTCATATCAAACGAGCATTAATGCAAAAAAAAAAAAAAAAAAATTCTTTAGAATCTGAGAAAGTGCTGCGAAGAGTCGTTAAGATATTGGGACCTTAAGGTGACTGCAAACAGTGACAAACCTCCGTCGATGGCAAATGTACCACTCCCGTACTTCGTCTCTTTTCCCTAAGCTTTCGTCTATCGCGTTGCTGCTTCCCCTTGTTTATATGCGTTGGCCTGTGCAAACAGGATACGACACTAAAGACACTAGAACCAGATCCAGAAAGTGTTAGCAAAATATGCAAACTCTATACTGGTTCTACTTAGTAGTGCGACATACTCGAATTTCGAAAGCGTAATCTTTGGTTGCCATGCGACGACAAATGGTTTACTTACCGGCCAGTCACTCGTTTGTCCTGCTTTCTCATTATCGGTTTGTTCTGCTGGTTCTCATGCTCGGGTGCATTGTTTGAACTTGTATCGCACACTCCTTGAGATTCCTCTACGTTCGGTGCATTCTCTGCGAGCAGAGCAATACGAATTCCAAGTAACACGTAAAATAAACTATCGAAATAACGGACAAAAAGGCATTGAATTACTTTGAAAGCCTATGGAAGAGCCATCCCCTGTTCTGGGAGGGCCAATGCGTGCTCGAGCCGTTCTGATTCTGGACCTTCTGGATGATAGTTCAAAATCATTGTCAAAGTCCTCCTGGCTGACGGAGCTCGACGCCATGCCGGTTATATCGCTGGAAAACGAAACTCCCACAGTGAATCGCGCTCGATAGTTACCAAAAATTGTACGAATTGGAGCAAAACAAAGTAAAAAAAGGCTCTTACAAAAAATACCTGGACATCTGAACAAAAGGGTGGGTGATGACGTGCGATACCTGTAGCGGACCAGCACAAAACTTGGAGGCCAAAAAGCGAGTGCTTGATTAGGTATGTCTAAAGGAAAGTAACAAAGCATAAACCGCTTTTAGCTACGAGCAAGTGCGTGCGCAACAGATGATAACACAACTTCGAGAGAAAAGAGAGTAGCAGCAATTCCTAGGCTCTTAGTCACCTGTCGAGGTGAACGGTCTTCACCCAGTTCCACTGCCAATACCGTGACTCACTACCAACCTATGTGCGACTGACAGCTGTCAACCATTGAACATCCATAAACACGTATGGTCCGCAACGATTACATAGTTTAGAGATAGATGGGCATATCGATCGTCCATGAACCTCGGCTAAAGTGCAATACACAGTGCATGGTTTCGATGGCGTCGCATCAGAGTTTGAAATGCACCGAAAATAACTAGAACGCGTGAAAGTTACTATTGCGACGGATATCGTTCGAAATAAGAATTTTTTTAAAAACGTGGAAGTAATTGGGCGATGCATACTTAATAAATAATAGTTTGATCTTTGGATCGATGCTTTGCATATGTGTGCAACTAAATAAAATTGGTTCAGTATGTCTGCTAACTACCTACTGTTTCTACTTGCGTTGAATTCCAAGTTGTACTCTATTGCACGCATATACAATGAATTTTCTAAGTTGATTTTCTCGAAAATGAAGTCATTTTTATTAAATGACATTTATATTTTATTAATAAATATGAGTTACATTTACGAAGTGTGAATTACGTTTAATGGATGCGGTGAAACCATAGACGAGGTACAGCATAGATTGGACGTTCAATGGTATTTCATATCCCATGGTTTGGTATAGTGACAAAAAATAACATTGTTATAACTATTATTAATGTGAAAATACATTGCGCGTCATTTTAATTCAATTATAAATCTTCGCTCTGGACGGCAAAATGCCCATATTCGTCGAGAAATAGTTTCTACTGTTGTCGGTTTGAGATGTTAATTTTTATTTTTCATTGTGCATGTATCTACACAGTTTTCATCTCGTTAAGTGTAATATACATTGACTTGAGATTAGATACGTAGATTTATTTGGTAAACTTAGTCCAAAGTTTTATAATAATGAAGAAGGCATTGAACCTTCAATGCATGTAACTAATGGTATCTTCTAATGACAGCAATAGAAATTATTTCTTGACAAATTTGAGTATCTTGCCGTTGAGAGTGAAGCCTTTATAAATAAATTAAAACAACGAGTAATATATTTTCATATTAATAACAATAGCTATTTTTCGATCGAATATGCTTAACGTGCCATCTAGTATCAAAGAAAACGAATTATTCCTCGACAAACTTGGGCATTCTACCGTAGATGGGGATGCAATCCAAAGTCCATATACTAGGTTTAATTATTTAAATAAAAAAATACATAGCTAGGTTAAATAACTAACAATTGTTAGAAAACATGTATTGCTGAAATAAATCGACGAGAAATTTGTTTGTTATCATAGTTTAAATTGGGTATTGTATAGGAAATGAATCGTTACTAAGAAATATTTTTGTTTAAAATTTTATTGAGAAAATGTTTACAGAATATCCCAATAAAAACGGTGCAATTTTCATCTCTAAATCACACCCGTGGCTTTTCTATATTGGCCGAAGTGTTCCAAATATTGTTGTATGGTGTCCATGGGTTGATAAATATCGTTCATTCGGTTCTATAAAAAGAAATATGATCAATCTTCTGCGGACGGTGTCTGGATATAAAATACGCTAATATACTAATCATAATTTATTACCTGCAAATATTGTGGAGCTTGATTAGACACGGTAGGTCCGAGGAATCCTTGCAAAAATTCACGCATCAGTTCCCACGCGCTTCCCGGAACAACACAGGGCCTATATTCTACCTGTAACAGAAAAAATGGTAATGATTTCAACGAGTCGTAATAACAGGACGATTATGTTTCGTTGCTATAATATCGAGAGGTAGGCGATTGGTAATTTAAACGGAAGACACGATGCAAAACGAAAGTGGGAAAACGTTCCATCATTAAAATCTCCTCCCTGTTACTTCCGGTCGGGATACGGTTATAGCCAAAGAAAGGTATCATGGAAACGAAAACTTCATAGAGCGTTGGGCACGGAATTGGCACTTTTGCCGGACCATTGGCCGGCCAGAATGGAACGCGAGAAAAAATGAGGATACGTGTTATGAATGTGTGCCCTCGAGCGGCGCATTTTATTCTCCGTTTCGCAAAGGGTTGAGCCAATCATAAACCGTGTACGTCGAATAATGGGAAGACCCAAATTATTTATACACCATTAACGTTTCATCGTTTTTGACAGCCCACGGAACATCGAGTTTACTTTTGCCTTCGTACATTTTACCTGATTTTATGTAATTAGAACAAAATTCTTTTCGAAAGTACAAGAAATGCTTCGTACATAGTAAATTCGACAGAATGCACACAATTTCTATAAAAAATTTGTAGAAATAACGCTAGTTTTGGGCCAATGTTGAGGTGCTGTCACAAATCTAACCTCTTAACACACTTCGCATTCATTGAATCGAGAAACGAAACGTTCGCAGAGGCAGGTAATTATCTTGCTTCGATCGACTCGAAGGAGGCTTTCTTTAGACCTAGAAGATAACGTCGATACCCCCCGAGAGCTTCGTTAGCGATTAGCTAGGCATTAGTCGGTGTTGATGAGTTGCACCGATAAGTGCTCGGCCACTTCTGCGAGCAGTGGCTTGGAAATGAGAGAAGATAGGAAACACCGTCGGACTGTATGGACCTGCAATTCGCCTGTGGGGGTTGAATAGGGCGGAACTAGTCGACAAAACGGTGATTCCCAACGAAATTAAGGCTATCGAAAGTTAAGCTAAGTTAAGAGGTTAAGTCTCGCGAAATATCTTTGGGTTCAGCTCGACGTAGAATTTATTGACTTACAAGGAACCATCGCGAACGGTCCGGCTTCGATTTTGATGAAACTTTGTACACTTATAAAGCAGCCAAAAATAATCGACACGTATTTTTTTTTAGCTGCGGTAACTCGAGTTTAAGGGGTGAAACCACCCCTTGAAGTTTTGGCTCGAAACAGCTATCTCGAAAACGGAAAGACATACAAAAAAATTGTTAATGGGCGAGGTTGATGGTTTCTTATGTACAATAACATGGTGTTAAAAAATTTAAAAAAATACAATTTGTTTATAACAAAAAAAAATTTATTAACTTAATTTTTCATTTTATTGAAATTTTCATAATGACAAAAAATGACGAGCATTTTATTCCAAATCCATTGGTATGCGATTTTTTAAAATTGCCTCCTACAATTTTGCAGATTTTGATGATTTACATCTTGCGCGCACATCCATTATGGTAGTAGCTGTTCTAACTTTGATTTTAATGAAGCACTGTAGGCTTGCACTACTTCTAGAGGACAAAATCGGGAAAAATACAAGAATACCAATTTGTTGATGGAGGCTTCGTTAAGAAATTATTAACGTTTAAAGTTCCGCCCGTACTGAATTTTTTTCTCCGAAATGCCCATGATTTCGGGGGAATGTGTAATGACCAAAAATGATTGTAATCGACCCCTGCAACCGAAAATAATTTTTTCAGAATGGTTTGAAATTTTTTAATTTTGTTGTAAAATTTCACACATTCTCGAATTTTTTTCTCAAAAGTGCGTAGGATTTCGGGGGTATGTATATTGACCAAAAATGATTGAAATTGACTCCCGCAACTGAAAATAATTTTTTTAGAACGATTTGAAATTTTTTTTTTTCGTTGAAAAATTTAGGCACCTACGCCCTGTCGATTTTTCTTAAAAATTCGTTTTTCATTTTTAATAATTTTGTTTGACGCCCTACAAAAAAGTTGGCCAATACTTTTTTGTAGGTACCTATGAGCTCTACTTCAGAAAAAAGTTTCATTGAAATATATTCACTATTGTAGGAATTATGGTTGTTTGAAGATTGGAGCATTTTAATGGGGTTTTTCTCATTTTGCGGGGTCAAGGATCAACTTTTTGCATATTTTTGCGATTTCTACGTATTCTTGATTAAAATACGCGTCGTTTGCATTTTTGAAAATTAAAATCCTTCAATCCGTTCAGAAGTTATGACATTTTAAAGATCCGCATGAAATTTTCGGACAACATTTCTGGCCATAAATTACATTTTCGATTAGGAATTTTTTTCTCGAAAGTGCGTAGGATTTCGTGGGTATATGTATTGCCCAATAATGATTGTAATTGGCCCCCGCAACCGAAAATAATTTTTTCCTGGAGGATTTGAAATTTTTTAATTTAATTTTTTAATAACTTTTTAACGAAGCCTCCATCAACAAATTGGTATTCTTGTATTTTTCCCCATTTTGTCCTCTAGAAGTAGTGCAAGCCTACAGTGCTTCATTAAAATCAAAGTTAGAACGGCTACTACCACAATGGATGTGCGCGCAAGATGTAAATCATCAAAATCTGCAAAACTGTAGGAGGCAATTTTAAAAAATCGCATACCAATGGATTTGGAATAAAATGCTCGTCATTTTTTGTCATTATGAAAATTTCAATAAAATGAAAAATTAAGTTAATAAATTTTTTTTTGTTATAAACAAATTGTATTTTTTTTAATTTTTTAACACCATGTTATTGTACATAAGAAACCATCAACCTCGCCCATTAACAATTTTTTTGTATGTCTTTCCGTTTTCGAGATAGCTGTTTCGAGCCAAAACTTCAAGGGGTGGTTTCACCCCTTAAACTCGAGTTACCGCAGCTAAAAAAAAATACGTGTCGATTATTTTTGGCTGCTTTATAAGTGTACAAAATTTCATCAAAATCGAAGCCGGACCGTTCGCGATGGTTCCTTGTTAGTAATTTCTTGTAATATTACGATTTGATTAAAACGATGCAGGAAATTATAATATTAAAAGGTGAACCGATTTGAACACGAAGATAACAAATTATGGATAATAATGTTACTATGGAAACTTTTTTAACCTCATTTTTGTTAAGTCCTGGGTCTGCTAGTAGACTCATCAGTAAAATAACTTTAGTAGGCACCAGGATATATTATATGATCGGTCAAGTACTTGTGAGAGAGAAAAGTTGAGCGTAGCCCTCTGTTGGCGAGTTTTAGAAGCGCTGTCATAGTAACATTTTTCCCGCACTGTTTGTAAATGCTACGTTTGTGAATAACGTTTTTATTTTTAAATTAATTTGTAACGTTGAGTAAATTTTTATATACGGAGACTTTTTCGTACGTAAGAAATCGTTGAATTAACATAAAACTTATGCATTGGATAAAGTAATATTTAGGTGCAAGTTACTTTTCTGCATTCGTGCACTAAAATGAACGTTCGTTAAATCTTTCGTGGCCTCCAGAAAATGCCAGCGTGTCCCACTGGGGGGCCGCGTGGCCCCCGTTGAGAATCCCTGCTCTAAGCGATCCACCGGTCATTCGTATCGGTAACGGCGCTGTTTGTACCCTCCCACGACGTCGAATACGTTACGATAAACCCCTCGGTACCACCATTAATTTCACGGGAGAAATATCACGGCGTCGGACCACCGGCTCGCACTAACTTACGGTCTACGGTCGCGTCTTACCGCGAGCGTAAAGAAAAATGTCGTTGGAGCATTCTACACGCAGATACGAGTAATTTCGTGGCCTCGAGTCCGTAAACCGCTTACACCAACGGAATGGAAGCGTCGCGAGGGATTAACGCGGGCGTATATATAATTTTAAAAGGATAGTAAATCACGGGCGGTAAGAATAATGCAAGATCGGACGTCGTTTATCCTCTTTCGAACAGTTCTGACCGAATACTCCAGCTGTTGCTTCCGGTTGTGCAACCGTTGCAACCAAAAGCCGCGCGATTTCGATCGCCGCGATAGAGCCAGAACCCTTTTCCACACCCAGTCTCAGCGATCTTGATCCGACGATCGCGGGGAAAAGAGAAACGAGCGACGAAGACACGATCAATACTTGTTTCGGTGAGATAGGCTGCTAGATAAATTGTATTTCATAAATCGAAGGTTTTGCATACAGGATGTTCAGCCACCCCTGGGGGAAATTTTAATGGGAGATTCTAGAGGCCAGAATAAAACGAGAATCAAGAATATCAATTTGTTGATTGAGGCTTTGTTAAAAAGTTATTAAAAAAATAAATTAAAAAATTTCAAATCATTCATGGAAAAATTATTCTCGGTTTTGGGGGTCAATTACAATTATTTTTGATGAATAGACATACCCCTGAAATCCTACACACTTTTGAGAAAAAAATTCCAGTAGGTGCTGAAATTTTTTGGTGAAAAAAAAATTTTCAAATCGTTCTAAAAAAATTATATTCAGTTTTGGGGGTCAATTACAATCATTTTTTGTGAATAGACATATCCCCGAAATCCTCCGCACTTTCGAGAAAAAAATTCGAGTAGGTGCTGAAAGTTTTCGGTGAAAAAAAAATTTTCAAATCGTTCTAATAAAATTATATTCAGTTGTGGGGGTCAATTACAATTATTTTTTGTGAATAGACATACCCCCGAAATCCTACGCGCTTTCGAGAAAAAAATTCGAGTAGATGCTCAAATTATTCGGCGAAAAAAAATATTCAAATCGTTCTAACAAAATTATATTCAGTTTTGGGGGTCAATTACAATCATTTTTTGTGAACAGACATAGCCTCAAAATCCTTCGCACTTCCGAGAAAAAAATTCCAGGAAGGTGGACTTTTTCGTCAAAATTAGAAAATTTCAAATCGTTCTGGGAAAATTATTTCTGGTTGTGGGGATCAATTAACATCACTTTTGGTGAATACACATATCCCCGAAATCCTACGTACTTTCGAGAAAAAAATTCTTTACCGAAAATAATTCTTTGAAGCATACTCTATAAAAACATTAAAATAATTCTATTTTTGACATTATAAATTACAAACACTCTTTGAAGCATACTCTACCGAAACATTAAAATTATTCTACTTTTTGACATTACAAATTACAAATCATTCTTTTTATTTACCTTTAGATCACTGATAACTCTTACTTAGTTATATCGACTTCTACTATTGAAAATACGTGTATGTATAGTTTAATAAAAATAGTGATCATTATATGGATTAGAAGTCATCATCGATATGTAAAAATTGTTGGTGAAACGATTGATTGTGTATTGGTAAACCAATGCACGTGTTTCGTGTGTGCCATCGCGAATCATACGAGCAGACTAAACTTGTCAATCGATATCGCGACGGACGTCGTCACGTGATCGGCAAGGCGTCCCGGAAGCGGCGTATTTTGCCAGTTTCGAAGTTTAATCGCGAGTTAATTAGGCTACCACCGTCGTCCTCCGGCGTTTCTTCGCCGCGGGGACGCCCCGGCGACGAGTTTCGCGAAAATCACCGGGGCCAGACGTCTGCCGCAATTATTAATTCAACCGATTATCTACACCCCTCCCCCTCCCGCTCGTCCATCCCGAGGAAAAGTTTCCCCGGAGCATTTGAAAACTTTGAAATTTCCAAACGCGAAACTGAGATTTAAAACGGAACAGATGCAGCTTTCCCCGTGAATCTTGCGTTACCGTTGACCTTAATTGAAAGATTCGCTGCAAGAATCATGTATCCCAATTCTCGGATGAAAGTGAGTTAAAGCGTAGGGTATATATATACATTTGTGGCGGGGCTGTTGCAAGAAGAAGCGAATGAGATAGTAGGAGGGAAAGAAAAGTCATTCGATGGTCAGTCGAGAAGTGTATGTTCACGAATAGGTGGTTGGTCGAGTGCTTGTGAGAGAGAAAGGTTGAGCGTAGCCCTCTACCGGCGAATGTGGAAAGTGTCCTCATATACTCCCCCGTCAGTGATAACGTTACATTTGCAATATACTATTTAATTTTGTTTAAATTTGTTCATAGATGCTCGTGAAAAAAAATTTATGTTACGAATACCTTGAAAATATGAAATTGTGTTGATTTTAATATATGAGACTTTATGACAAATGTAGTCTTGTTACTGTACAGCAAGGGGTTAATTTATCTATCCAAGAATTATACTTACTATATACATAGTTATTTTGTTAATGATTAATAATGTTCACTTTTAACATTACCACTAATCTGTACGGTCTTTTTTCAGAATATCGTGTTTGCTGGCGTCTTCAGTATTGTGCCTCTATCTCGATGCAACTGCTATACTGAATTCATCTCAGTAAGACAACCCTAACAGGACTTGCCTTAGGCGCTGGGACATTCAATGGTCGGTCAAGGAGCGCATATGTATGTATGTAGGAACAGATCAAGTACTTGTAAGAGATCGTAGTCCTCTGCACACGTTTCTAATTTATTTACTTAGTTTGTTAATTTAATTAAATATTGTACGTATGTCGCCGTAGGAGCACCAGAGGAATGCAGAGGATCAGGATAGTCTGTTGCATTGGATCGTTCAATCGATCCTACGATAAGAGATTCGCCTTCCATTTTGTTTTGATTTGGTTTCACTCACTTCAACTAGAACGCCTTTGAAATTCTGGTTGATCGTGACGCTGCCGAGTTTCACGCAGAAATCGCCGATCTCGAATCGCGGTCCCTTGGACTCCATCTTCTGCATTTTGTTCGTGTAGATGCTGGATATCTTGTACATCAATAGATCAAAGAGGCCGTCAGCTATCAATGGCACCACTTTGTTGCCTGATTCGAGAATGGCAAACACCGATGCCGGCTGCTCGGAGTTGTGGAGAACGTGGAGGGTCCTTTGAACGCCTGGGGAAAAAGATAATTGCAATTAGCGTATCACCCGGATAACTGAATTTGATTCGTGTCTGTTGCTGAGCAGACATCGGTTATTGTACACTCAGTGTCAACGATTCGAGTATCAGGATATACAGAATCTTGCGCTTTCGAATATTTATTTTTTAAATACGTCCAATATACAGGGTGTCCAAAAAGGTTGGGACCAAATTTATTCATAATAAAAAGATATTTATGATTTGTTGTGGCAGTCATAAGAAATGTTCAATCGGTAATGTATCTATATACAGATGGAATATTTGAAAGAGTACGACAGTCACTAATTCGACGAATGGAAGCCTGCACGAATGACTTTAAAAGCTTATATCTTTTCAATAAACACGTTCCATATAACAGAGGAATAAACAACAAAGAATGGTAACGTCAACCGAAGTTTCAGGGACGCGAAAACTATCGAAAAGGAGGAGAGCTCCTGACGAGCCACGAATCAGTGTCGAGAGCCGAACGAGGCAGCGGAGGGGGAACGATTCCAGGTCAATTATCGGGGGCGAAATTCGTTCAGTTATCCGAACTCTAGCGCGTTTCGGCTGGCGTCGTTCCAGAAAACGGGTAATGTCACGAACTCGCGGAAAAGAAATCTCATGCAGGACGGAGGGGGGACAATAGAGGCGCAAAATCGAGTACGACGATGCACATCTGCTCGGTATGCTCGAACTTGCTCCTGTTTACACCGGGGCGTGCACGTGCGCGTAACGCGAACGAGCGAGCTAAACTTGGACGCAACTTGAAGTTCAGCAGCGCTATATCGAACTTTCTGTACCGGTAGTATGTTGTCAACTCGCACGGTGAATCCCCCGGACGCGAAAACTATCCGGATCGCCTGGTCGTGTAGGTGGACCGATCTCGATAAATTCGAAATTCCCTAGACAGCCAGTTAACGAGAACTAATATCCGTGGTTGCTCGACTCGCCTGTTTCCATCAGTTTCCTGTCCCGCTGGCGACGCGACAACGATTCCTCGTTGTTCCGAACGGTCGATGAATTTATGTTTTTACTAGAATATACGAACAGTTTCGGGATACTCGGATATAACTGGATTAATTCTTTATTTAATTACTATTGTTCTTTAACACGTTCACATTTTCATTGTGATGCAAAATCACATGAATAATATTCATATTTATAACACATATTATCATTTTATATAATTTTTATTTTTTTAAATTATTATGCACTTTAATGTAATGGCTAATTGTGGTTTGTGAAGTAGTTTCATTCTATTTTGATTTTGTGTATTTAAAAATTTCTTTTAGCTAGCATATTGTATAAATTAACTAGAATTGCATCATTTGACGTAAATCGTTCATTTTTGCAGCTAATGAAAATTTTTTATATCTGCAAACGTGTGGAGTTCATTGTTTATTTTATCATCTTTACTTTGAGAGATTTTATATATTTAATTACTGATATTAAAATGTTTCAATATAAGTCGAAAATAAAGAATACGATATAAACGAGAAATTTTGATTTTGTGTATTTAAAAATTTCTTTTAGCTAGCATATTGTATAAATTAACTAGAATTGCATCATTTGACGTAAATCGTTCATTTTTGCAGCTAATGAAAATTTTTTATATCTGCAAACGTGTAGAGTTCATTGTTTATTTTATCATCTTTACTTTGAGAGATTTTATATATTTAATTACTGATATTAGAATGTTTCAATATAAGTCGAAAATAAAGAATACGACATTTTTTTACGAAGCTTTATTTTCGAGAGAATCGAATTTCTTTTATCGAGTATCAAATGTAGGTTTCGATTTTACGGACTTTTGTTTCTGCCAGTGTTTGCGTTATAAACACGGGCAATGTATTATCTATTTCCTGTCAATGTTACTATCATCGTTACTGTCGATTTGTGCTATTAGTCTCTTTCATTCTGAACGATGTCAAGATATATTGCGCGAGAATACCTGGACATGTTTCTTTGTTTAGAAGCGTGAAATGGTAACGCATCTGTTGTCGAGTCGTTTATGTATATCGAAAACGTTATCCGAATTGTCGTCGTCCCGATAGACGACAGAAACATCGAAGAATTTAAAGCGAACCATATGTTGACTTTTAAAGAATTTAAAAATAGAATTTATGATACAACTACAAGCAGTGCATATTAATTTTACTCGAATTTGATTTCGAGCAGTTTCTACGCTATTAAATATATCAATATGAATATAAATATATGAATAACTTGTTTACAAAAATCAAATTGTCCAATACATTTCCAATAAAAGAAAATATACAAGTATTAAGTGACCGTAAAATAAGTTTAAACTAAAGCCTATATTTTGACTTTTAAAGAAATTAAAAATAGAATTTATGATATAACTACAAGCAGTGTATATTAATTTTACTCGAATTTGATTTCGAACAATTTCTACGCTGATAAATATATGAATGATTTGATTGTAAAAATCAAATTATCCAATACATTCCCTTTACAAAAAATGTACAGGTATTAATTGATCGTAAAATAAGTTTAAATTAAAGATATCGAATATTGCATATCAACGTTCCGAGAAATCGTAAACAGGGTTATTATTGAACCGGTGTATATCGTCATAAAGGTAAAACCGCAAAGTAAACGCAATACATACGCGATAATAAATAACAATATTACATACAGAAAATAAACGATATTAAATTCTCGTTTACAGTCGCGAAGTAAAAAAACATGGCGGCGCGTTTTGCTCGCGAAATATAAATGGAAACGTTACGTGGCGCTTTAAAGTTGTTCCCATTGGTTGCCATTAATTACGCAATCCCGTTCGACGGTGCAGTCCAAACAGAAATCGCATCGTCCGCAGTATCGCACGCTCGACGCATTAAAACGAAAACGCGGATCGAGGCGAATCACGGATCCACGGGCGCGATTTATGTCTTCGAAATACAGTTTTTGTCGAGTTTGGATTTTCCAAGGAATATTCCCAGTCGTTTGACGATCGTCGGTCGGACGATATTAAATTTTATACGGATTAGGGGTGAAAGAAATTCGATTCCGACGAATTTCCATCGTGCACGTGGGATTTCGCGTGCATCAAGGGGATTAATATTGGACAGTTCGAAACATACGATGTGCGAATTACGCTGAATATTCATAATTCATCCGGCAACCCCTCACCTGGTTCGTCCACATAATAGCAGGGTATTGCCGCGTGCAACCACCGCCGCATGAATTATTTATGGGGCGAATTATAACGCAACCCTCTCCGCGCCCGTCAAACGACAAAACTCCTAATTGCAGATCACGGAAGCCGCGGACAGTTTTATGATATTTAATTGTACACCACTTAGGAGTTTATTTATTATAGCTGTATTTAACGTAATAAAATTTCGTAATTTGTTCGAATGGTCAGGGAAGTATTTTTCATCAGTCAAATTAATTATGTTGCAATGTAGACGCTTCAAACATGCGTTTATTTGTGAATTTATTCGTATAATCCTTTGCTACAATTTTAACAAATTTAATACTTTTCCATTGAGCGCCAAACGGCGAAATAATGCAATTTTTAAACGTAAGATTGCTTGTCATTTGCAAAAATAAAGAATAGAGAATTTACTAAATATTTCAATTTCTCCAAACATTATAAAATGTTGGGGATGTAGATGGAAGAAGAAGTAATTTTTAGTTACAACTGTGCATCGATATAATAATTTTTATACTAGTAAAATTCTTTATTCTTTGCAAAACTAAAGAATAGAGAATTTACTAAATATTTCAATTTCTCCAAAGATTATAAAATGGCGGGGATGTAGATGGAAGAAGAAGTAATTTTTAGTTACAACTATGCATCGATATAATAATTTTTATGCCAGTAAAATTACTTATTCATTGCAAAACTAAAGAATAGAGAATTTGCCAAATATTTCAATTTCTCCAAACATTATAAAATGTTGGGGATGTAGATGGAAGAAGAAGTAATTTTTAGTTTAACTATGCATCAATATAACAATTTTTATACCTGTAATATAACTGTATATTAATCCATGAAGAGCCAAACAGTGAAATAATACAATTTTTAGACATAAGATTGCTTATCCTTTGACAAGTATCCTTGCCAAAACTAAAGAATAGAGAATTTACCAAATATTTTAATTTCTCCAAACATTATAAAATTGTAGAGATGTAGCTAGAAGAAGAAATAATTTTTAGTTACAACTGTGCCTTGATATAATAACTTTTATACTAGTAAAATTCTTTATTCTTTGCAAAACTAAAGAATAGAGAATTTACTAAATATTTCAATTTCTCCAAAAATTCTAAAATGGCGGGGATGTAGATGGAAGAAGAAGTAATTTTTAGTTACAACTGTGCATCGATATAATAATTTTTATATGAGTAAAATTCCTTATTCTTTGCAAAATTAAAGAACAGTGAATTTACCAAACATTTCAATTTCTTCAAACTTCAGTAAATTGTAGGGATGTAGATGGAAGAAGAAATAATTTTTAGTTAGAACTATGCATCGATATAATAATTTTTATGCCAGTAAAATTACTTATTCATTGCAAAACTAAAGAATAGAGAATTTGCCAAATATTTCAATTTCTCCAAACATTATAAAATGTTGGGGATGTAGATGGAAGAAGAAGTAATTTTTAGTTTAACTATGCATCAATATAACAATTTTTATACCTGTAATATAACTGTATATTAATCCATGAAGAGCCAAACAGTGAAATAATACAATTTTTAGACATAAGATTGCTTATCCTTTGACAAGTATCCTTGCCAAAACTAAAGAATAGAGAATTTACCAAATATTTTAATTTCTCCAAACATTATAAAATTGTAGAGATGTAGCTAGAAGAAGAAATAATTTTTAGTTACAACTGTGCCTTGATATAATAACTTTTATACTAGTAAAATTCTTTATTCTTTGCAAAACTAAAGAATAGAGAATTTACTAAATATTTCAATTTCTCCAAAAATTCTAAAATGGCGGGGATGTAGATG